AATTTTTTATTGTTATGTTAATCACCATACATCACATCATTAGTTTTTGATGTAGTGTTCCATGATTCATTGTTTGCGTATAACACCCAGTGCTCCATGCAGTACGTGCCCTCTTTAATACCCATCACCAGCTAACCCATCCCCCACCCCCCTCCCCTCTAGAGCCCTCAGTTTGTTTCTCAGAGTCCACAGTCTCTCATGGTTCGTCTCCTCCTCCGACTTAATCCCCCAATGATCTATTTCTTAAAAGGGTATGAGGACCCAATGGTTTTATACGTTATGTGAATCTGTGCAACCTTTAAGAAATAGCTGATTCCTGTCATTTAAATGGTTCCACATTATAAAAAAGGTTGGAAAAGTTCCCAAAGTCCTGAGGGAAAAGACATAAATGGTAGTCTAGAAGTTGATATTTGTCCAGGTCTGGTTAGAAAATAATAGCATTATCTATCTACATCACCGAGTTTCCTGAGGAACATAGCTGGCTTGAGCAAAAATGTGGCAGAGAGCTCAGTTTGCACTACACACGTGAAAAGCAGTCCTTAGGGGCGCCTGGGTGTCTCAGTTGGTTAAGCGTCTGCCTTTGGCTCAGGTCATGATCTCAGGGTCCTGGGATGGAGCTTCGTGTCAGGCTCCCTGCTCAACGGGGAGTCTGCTTCTTCCTCTCCCTCTGCCCCTCCCACCCCCGCTTGTGCTCTCTTTCTCTAATCTAAAAAAAAATTGTTTTTAAAAAGCAGTCCTTAGCACAAGATGTGGCAGGTGATGAAGCTGACCTCCCCTGTCACGGGGGCTCTGCTTCCCTTCCTAGATCATGTACGTGCAAGAACTTCCTTTTTTGCAAAGAGTAGGGGGAAGGACTACACCCTTGAGCTTAAATCCTCAAATTAATAAGATGAAGTGGTATAATTTCTTTCTTACCTCTTGCTTTCGATCTTTCTTCACTCACATTTTTTTAGAACTCATAGAACACACTTTTTAATTTAACTTAATTTGATTTTCACACTTTGTTTTAAAAGTTATACTCCTTTCATTATTAAACAAAATATCTATCAGCATGTTTAAGATTCACTTTTCTTGATCAAAGAAGGTCTTCATTTCGGGCTCTAATTTCAGAAACTATGTAGTTTGTACTCGCTGCAGCAGCATGGATTTTTTTTTTTTGTGGTAAAATACACATGACATTATTATTATTTTAAGATTTTATTTATTTGACAGAGAGAGACAGCAAGAGAGGGAACACAAGCAGGGGGAGTGGGAGAGGGAGAAGCAGGCGTCCCGTTCAATCCCAGGACCCTGAGATCATGACCTGAGCCGAAGGCAGACGCTTAACGACTGAGCCACCCAGGTGCCCCCACATAAGACTTATTATTGAAATCATTTTTATTATTATTTTAATTGTGGTAAAATATGCATAACATAAAATTTAGCATCTCAACTCCATTTACGTGTACAGTTCAGTGGCATTAAGTACATTATTCTGGTGCATCTAACACTAGGATTCATCTCCAGAACTTGCTTCATCTTGCAAAACTGTAACTTTGTATTCATTAAGCGATAACCTCCTATTCAACCCTCCCTCCCGGCCCCTGGCAACCACCATTCTACTTTCCGTCTCTATGAGTTTGACTACTCTCATATAAATGGAATCATACGGTATTTATTGTTTTGTAACTGGCTTATTTCACTTTGCATAATGTCCTCAAGGGCAAGGTGGCAGTAGGAGCCGAAGGACCTATACCAGTTGCCCTGGGCGGACCTGAGAAGGTGCAAGAGTGAAGGCCGTGGGCTTTGGGAAGAGATGGATAGCAGTTAGGATGGTGACTTAGCCACTCTCATTAGGAAAGTGATTTTATTTTTATTTATTTAAAAAAAAAATTTTTTTAGGAAAGTAATTTTAGGCAAGTTACTCAATTTCTCTAAACTTTAGTCTTTTCCTCCTATTTTTTTAAGATTTATTTACTTATGGGCGCCTGGGTGGCTCAGATGGTTAAGCATCTGCCTTCGGCTCGGGTCATGATCCCAGAGTCCTGGGATCGAGTCCCGCATCGGGCTCCCTGCTCAGCGGGGAGCCTGCTTCTCCCTCTGCTTCTCTCTCTCTCTCTCCATCTCTCATGAATAAATAAATAAAATCTTAAAAAAAAAAAGATTTATTTACTTATTTGACAGAGAGAGAGACAGCGAGAAAGGGAACACAAGCAGGGGGAGTGGGAGGGGGAGAAGCAGGCCTCCTGCCGAGCAGGGAGCCTGGTGTGGGGCTCGATCCAAGGACCCTGGGATCATAACCTGAGCTGAAGGCAGACGCTCAACTGACTAAGCCACCCTGGTGGCCCTAGTCTTTTCCTTCCTAATGGTTTAATAAAGACATCAAAGGTTTAATGTGAGGCTTAAATGACGTAATGGTTTGGAAAGGAAGTAGGGTATTAGGACATGTTGGTCGAGCTCTCAGGCCTTTTGGGGGCTCAGGGTCTGGCTTGAGACTGGCTGTGTAGAGTTGGGAGCTCTCAGCATGTGGGTGAAAGTTAAAATCAGAAGAAAGCTGAGATTGCCAAGGAGATGTGGAGAGGTGTGTGGAAGAGAGGTTGGGGCCGGCCGCTGGGGAGCCTAAGCACCTACACAGTGGGCCCCCAGCCCCACGGGGCCCACAGGAGTCACCCAATACACTCCCTATGTAGACCTGTGGGCTCAATGGCTGGTTTCTTCTCATGGAATCTAAGTCCTTTTCACTTCTTTCCCCCAATTCTGGCCTTTTGGCAAAAGAAAACATTTCCCAGTAGCCCAGTGGATGGGTCTTTCTTAACCGACTGAGCCACCCAGGCGCCCCGGGACTGGGTCTTTCTTGAAGCAGTCAGTGATTCTCTGGACTGATAGCTTATCTATGGATGGAATCCTAGCCAGGGGCAGGAGGAGTAGGGGGAGAGCTCAGATATCTAACTTTGCTTCTGTCATTCCACTGGGAGTGGGTACCTCAGGCTGTAACTCCTGACTGAGCCAGGTGGAGGACGCCAGGCCCTTGCTTGAGTTCAGTAGTCCTCAAGCCGAGTGTTGGTGACAGGCACGTCATTTTATGATTTCCATTACAAAGAAAAAGGGAGAGCACGGTTTTCACTTGTTTCTTGTATATTTTTTTAAAGATTTCATTTACTTATTTAGAGAGCATGTGTGAGCGGGGCGGGGTAGGGCAGAGGGAGAGAGAGAGCATCTCAAGTAGACCACGCTGAGCACAGAGCCCAACATGGGGCGATTTCATGACCCTGAGATCATGACCAGAGCTGAAATCAAGAGCCGGATGCTCAACCAACTGAGCCACCCAGGCACCCCTGTTTCTTATATTTTAAAATATGATTCAGGCCATCCTGGCCTTGATAGACTTTGCCAGAACCTCTATAACTCTGATGACCATGGTCCTGGTGAAGAACTTGGGGGTCCCCCGGGTGTCTGCTGTGCTCAGCCTTGATTGAGTTGCTGAGTGAGCAGACACCTGCCCCAGTGGTCTGAATGCACACCACTCATCACAAAGAAGTCACAACACCCAGCTGAGCTTGTGCAGCTTCCCCAGTTTCAAGCTGACCTTTCCCCCACCCCCCACCATGAGCCTGCAAGGATAAAGCCCAGCTCACAGGGAGACCCAATACTAACTACCACTGGTTTTGCTCACCTACTCCCTAAGATAATCTTGGAACACCATGGATACTCTCTCCACATTTTAAACTTGACATCTAAATGTGTTTATTATAAGTTTAAATAATTATAGAGGGTGACTTTTAAAAAAATTAAAAGGTTGTGGGACACCTGGCTGGCTCAGCCAGTAAAGCACACTACTCGTAATCTCGGAGTCGTGCGTTCAAGCCCCACAATGGGCATGGAGCCTACTTTAAAAAAAAATAAATAAATAAAAAGGTTGTACATTTTTAAAAAAAGACTTTATGTATTCATTTGCGAGAGAGAGAGAGAGAGAAAGAAAGAACGCATGAATGGGGAAAGGGCAGAGGGAAAGGAACAAGCAGAGTCCGCGCCGAGCAGGATGCCCATCGTGGGGCTCCATCCCAGGACCAGGGGATCATGATCTGAGCCGAAGGTAGGCGCTTAACTGACTAAGCCACCCAGGTGCCCCAAGGTTGTACCTTCTTTAAAA